GACAAAGGCGAAGCGCAGCTGGTGGGCCGTGTACCGTAATTCCACGAGTTCTTGCAGAACGCGGGCGGCCTCGTCTTCCTTGGCAAACATGCCGGTCGCCAGCATGGCCTCCTCGTACGTAGGGTACTGCGAGCCATTGTGCGATTGGCAGTCTTGGAAGCTCCTGGAAGAGGGGGGCCAAACAGTGGGGGTTATGGAAAGGGGAGGTGGTGGGGGGAGTGGAGGGGGAGGGGGAGGGCCGGAAACGTCTAAATCGAACAGACCGTGCAAAGTTTGATGGCCGTCGGGGGAGTGTAGGGAATGTTCGTTCGGGGAAGAAGAGGGGGGCGCAGGTTGGAGGCCCGGTCCTCTTGGGAAAGTGGAGGAGCATCTGTCGCAGGTAGAAGACGTCCTTCTGCCGTGGGTACTTCATCTCCAGCCGGCACACGGGCGGTTCTCCCCGCATGCGGACGTACACGTAATTCTGGCGTCCCGGCGGCGCCATGTCCGTGGTTGGGCGCACAGGGAGGTCTGCAGGTATTCGGTGCCATCGTGTAGACAGGGTCGGCCACTCGCTCTGGGGCGGTTCGACGAGGTGGTTGCCGAACACATCGGGGAAGAATCCGCGGAACGCCACGGGGCAGGTCGTGCTGACGATGAACCGTTCGAAGTACTCGGTGTATTTGCAGCTGAGGAAGGGCTCCCGGTTGGGGCGGTAGAAGTAGCGCTCCAACTGAGACGTAGTGTGGTCTGCAGCATCGGCCTCGAAATCTTCTCCAAGGTTCGCCCAGTCATCGTCGGGAAGGTGCACGGGCAAGCAAAGTACGGTGGGCACGCGCTCGTACGTGGTGTAGCCGAAGATTCGCCATGCGCACTCGGTGGCTACCAGGTACCGTCCCCGTAGCCAATCGGCAATTTCGTCTGTCGGCCGGTCTTCCGAGCCAATGGTGTACATGGTGTGGTCGGGGCCTTTGAAGAGGTACTTGAAGAGGTATTCAAAGAGATTGACTGATCCGGCGAACTTGACGTTCGCATGGCCGTCCCACTTCAAGAGTATTCGGGGGGAGTACTCAACGACCAGTCGATTGCAGCACACGTTCCGTCGTCCGCATGCAGGCCCGCCGGACTGGCAATTGGGGCAGGTGCCAGAGCACGGGCGTCGGCGGTGGTGCGGGTACCCTCGGGCGTCCATCTCGGTGGTGTCGGCGAACGGCCATGGGCAGCCTTTGATGCACTCTTGGGCGGGGTCGTCCGGGTGGCAGGAATGGTTGCACCGATGAATCATATGAAGCAGAACGCGCTCGCGGAGTGGGCCAGGTTCGGGAGGAACTTCACAGGATATGAGAGCATCGATCTCCTCGGGCGTGCAGGGCGGGTTATCCACTGCGAGAGCAATGTGGGCATGGGGGAGGCCGCGCATCTGGTACTCAATGACGCGGATGAGGTACCTTCGGCGCCCGCAGAAGTCGTTCTTGAGGAAGGAAATCATCTCCAGGAGGCGCGCGTGAAACACGCGGACGACGACGTCTGGTCTGTCAGCAGCGGTTTGTCCTGGCAGGAGGGCGGATTGAATTTCTGGCCAGTATGGGTTGCACGTCAAGGTGATGAAGAAGGTAGGCGGTCCTTTACGTCGCGCCAGTTCTAAGCAGTCGACTCGAAGACGTCGGAGATGGCGCGGGGAGCCCGGCACGCTGGAGGGCAAGAACACGCGAGTCGCAGAGGGCTCTGGACTGGGGGAGTTAGCGACCATCTCGCAGACTTGACGCCGAGTGCCACGCAGCTTGGGCTGATCACGGCGGAGGAGGCTCAATCTTTCGTCCTCCATCCGGCAGTACATGTTGATGAGCCATTCGTTAAGCAGTCGTCCGCAAGCGTGCATGTGTGTCAACCGTAGTATGCATTGGCGGTACCACCACATTTGACTGATGTGCGCGCCGTTGACCGTGGCATCCGGGCTCCACCCACGCCCGCCGGATGGGAACCACAATGGGTAGGACAGCGGCTCGTAGAAAGGGTGTAGTGGATGGAGGTACTTGGGCGTGGTGGAGGAGTGAAGTCGGAATGTGACTGTGCGAGGCTGAGCGTGACTGTCAGGTCGCGCGTCGACGATGGCGGCGAGCTCGTTGATACCTTCGTCCCATTTCAAGTGCACCGCTGCGTCCGGGCCTGGGCGACGCAGGGCTCCCAGCCTCTTGATTTCAGTCATGAAAGGGTTGATGGGCAGCAGGAGGCGTTCGAGGCGACGAAGTAGCGGCAGGTCCAACTGCAACGCAGTAGCTTGTCGAACGCGTTCGTGAGGGTCGACGACGAGATATCTCACGGCGGTGGAGTCGGCAGCCGTGAGTACTCGTCTGTACATCGTGCCGTGGATCCGGAGGTTCGAGGGGCGCATATAGTTCCCGAATCGGAGTTCCTTCGTAGCCCCAGCGCTCTGGATCTCGTGAACAGCCAGTGCGAATAAGTTGTTGTAGCGTCGACTGGTGGCCGTGAATCCTGTCAAACGAACAGAATTGGTGGTGGGATCGTGCAAGAGCTGACCCGCGGCGTCCCGAGCTGGCCAAGTGGAGCGGAAGATCTCCAAGAGAGCGGGAGGTGGGAGCGAGAAGAATCGTTCGAATGGGACGGCCCACCTGCCGTTGCCGCAGCAGAACGTAGGTGCTTCGGTATGGAAGAGGGAGGCCGAACAATGTGGGCAAATGCGGGTCATTTCTCCGACGGAGAACGGCACGTCTTCAAGGGACGGTCGGCCCACTACGCTGCAGTCGCGGCAAACGCTGTCCAGCGACCTGTCGCGGTCGGTGGCGAAGGCTTCCCTTGGCAAGGTGAGCCCGCAACGAACGCAACATACTTCTGGTCGTTGCCGGGAGAGGCCGGAAGTCTGAGGGGCGCTGCCGGTGCAAGCGATGCATACGCGGGAGGCTCGTCTGCGTTGGTATGTGCTGAAGCCCAGCCGCGGGACGTCCTGATCGCAACGAGTGCAATGCAGCGTGTCTGCGCTGGGGCGTCCGCGGGAAGCCGGCCGCTTGCGCACGGCGGGAGAGCCAGCATCACCCGCGCACTGTGCTGGAAACGCAGGGCGCGTGTACAGAAAGGCTGCGATGGAAGTGGTTGCTGCCACAGGCAGGAGTGAAATGCCCCGGGCCTGCGTGTTGAAGGTAGTAGGTGTGCTGAGCAGAGCATGCGCGGCACATCGGCGGGCGGTGGACATCGTCGGCCATGTCAGGCGGCATCCAGTGAGAGGGAACATCAGCGGAAACCTGGAGCCAAAACCTACGGAAGAAATCCCAGGAAACGTATGTCATGGACCATTGTTGGCTGGTCGGTGGATTCGGGGCGCTTCCGAGGCACGTGAGAAAATAAGCACGAAACGTACACCTTGCGAACATGTAGAAGTGTGGCCTCTACGGGTCTCTTGGGGGTCCTTGGGTTGTTCTCGTTTGTGTTAGGGGTGTGGGGTGGTTCTGGTGATCTGGTCGGCGACGGGGCCTCTGGAGATTCTATTTGGCCTCGCGTCAGCCTTGGCCGCAGGGGAGGTCATGTGGCAGACGAGTTTTGAAGACTGTTGAGGTCTTTTTGGAAGCTCTTGGGGTCCTCTTTGGAGCCTGTTGGAACCCTCATGGGGCCTCTCGGGGCTTTGGGGGGCCTCCTGGGGCCCTCTCGGGGCGGAAAAAGTGAGTTTGAAAGTGTTGATCGCCCTGTAGGACGCCTCTTGGGGCCTGATCGGGGCTCTCGTATGCTCTCTTGACCTGTTTGGGGGCCCTCCAGAGCCAGCAGGGGGACGTTGTAGGGCTGTCTTGGGGGGCTCCGGGGCTGTCTTGGGGCGCTCTTGAGGGCCTTTTGGGCTGTCTTGGAGCGTCGGAGACATGAAAAGGCGAGAAAACGAAAACGTCGAAAAACACATCGGAAAATCAACGATTTTGGCCTCCCGGGGCTCTCTTGGGATACCTTTTGTGGGGCCTCTTGGGGTGTCTTGAGGGCTTCTTGGGCTGTCTGGGGCGATCTTCGGTTCTCTTGGACGGGTCTGGGGCCGTCTGGAGCCTTCCTGGAGCACTCGTGAACCTCTCTGGGACCGGTCGTGGCCCGTCCTGATTGTATTTTCGGGCCGGCTCGGATCATCGGGGGAGGGCCGAATTAGGTGCTGGCCATCCGGGGGGGGGTTTTCCCTTATCATTTGATAGGGAAAAGGAATATATATATATATATATATATATATATATGTTCCGATCCTTCGGGGATGGGAGCCTGGGCCCCCTTGCGAGGGCGACGTGCACGTTCGAGAGGACGGCTGGCCTTGTCGGCGGCCGACGCACGGGCGGCGCACGGGCGACGAATGCGCGACGCACCTCCTGTCGCGAAGGGGGGGGGGGTCAGCACGCCGGTCGCTTTACTGGGCCTTAACAGATGGGAGCCTGGGCCACGCGTGGGTCGGCGAGGCGCGGCGCATCTATTTTCCGGTCCCCCGGTTGTGGGAGGCTGGGCCTCGCGTGGGTCGGCGAAGCGTCGCTGTCGCCCAGGCGTGCCCAGGCTCCGCGCGGAAGTTGCGGTCCCGCTGCGGCGCGTCGCGGGGTCTGCCCTCGCTGGTCCTCTCGGAGATCCGGCTGCGCGCGAGAAGGGCCGAGTGGTGCCCTCGCCGAGGCGCCGCGCGGAGGTGCTCTGGGGGTCCCGCTCCCGCTCATGCGCGGCCCACTGTTTTTTTTTTTGTGTGTGTGTGTGTGTGCGTGTGCGTGTGCGTGTGTGTGTGTGTGTGTGTGTGTGTGTGTGTGTGTGTGTGTGTGTGTGTGTGTGTGTGTGTGTGTGTGTGTGTGTGTGTGTGTGTGTGTGTGTGTGTGTGTGTGTGTGTGTGTGTGTTGTGTGTGTGTGTGTGTGTGTGTGTGTGTGTGTGTGTGTGTGTGTGTGTGTGTGTGTGTGTGTGTGTGTGCGTGTGCGTGTGCGTGTGCGTGTGCGTGTGCGTGTGTGTGTGTGTGTGCGTGTGTGTCTCTCTCTCTCTCTCTCTCGCCCGCCCCCGCGGGCGCGCTGCCGAGTCCTCGATGCTGGAGCAGAATCACGGCGCCTGGACGCCGAAGCCCAAGTCCGCCGATACCCCGGGCAGCAGCAGCGGCAGCGGCCGCCACAGCCGGAGCCTCGCGGAGCAGCCGCACCAGTTCGGCGAGCCGCCGTGGCTGCAGGTGGACCTGGGCAAGGCCCGCGGCGCGCTCGGCGCGGGGCCGTGGGAGGAGGAGGAGGAGGAGGAGGAGGAGGAGGAGGAGGACCAACGGTTGCGGAAACGCCGGACAGAGGAGACACAGAACGAGGAGGAGGAGGAGGAGGAGGAGGAGGAGGAGGAGGAGGAGGAGGAGGAGGAGGGGGGGAAGCAGCAGTAGCGGCAGAAGGAGGAGGAGGAGGAAGAGGAGGAGGAGGAGAAGAAGAAAGAGGCTTCCACACGTGCCAGACAGTAGTCAAGTGTACAGCGGTATCGCCGCCACCAGCCGCAGAAACAGTGCCAGCAAGAGGCTGATCAGCAACAGCTACGGATGGGATGAGGGAAACGGGAGAGGGAGGATGGGTAAGCTAGGCGTGCTCGCGCTATATCTGACAGCAGACCCTTCCATCCCATTCCTTCCACTGCGCTGAATTTGCCTCTATATGTGAACGCGTGTCATAGCCTAACCAGCGGGACCTGTGCTGCAGGTTGGAACTGTTGGATTTGTGCGATCCGTGGTGCATGTGGAGCCTGTGGGTCTTCTGTGGCCTGTGGGGCAGGTTGGGACTGTGGACCTGTGGGACCTGCACGGCGTGCGAGACTTGTGGGACCTGTGAGACGTGGGGGACATGTGGCTTGTGGGGCATGTGAGACCTGAGATGCCTGTGGGACTGGCAACTGTGGGTATTGTAGGACCGGCGAGGCCTGCGAAACGTGTGGGACTTGCGGCACCCGCGGGACTTCTGGGGCCTGTTCTGCGAGAGGTGTAACACTTGTGGGACGTGTAGGACGTGCGGGACCTGTCGGACCTGTGGGACATGTGGGACTTGCGAGACCTGCGACACATGGATCCAGAAAAGTGGCCCACGCTGGGGCGAGAGCGCCATTCTGAACGACGGGAGCAAAGCACCGATCCGAAAATGAGGCCCACGCTGCAGCGAGAGCATAGGTTTGAAAACCAGAGAACAATCGGATGTGTTGAAAGCCATGGGGAATACCAAAGCATGACATTGATTTTGTGACATAACAGTGCGCGGAGAGGGCCGAGCATCAGACTCGGGGGTGAGAGGAGAGTAGTATTCCGGGCAATTGTCAGAAGAGAGGGAGACACAGGGGACAGGCGAGGGGGGCGGGAGAGCGGGGAGGCAGTGGGGACGGCGGCGGAGGGAGGCAGGCAGGGGCGGTGGTGAGGGCGGCAGTGTTGTGGGGTGGAAGAGGGGGGGGGAAAGGGGAGGTGGAAGGAGAGGGGTGGGGGGCCCGGGGAGGGGGGGAGAAAGGGGAGACGACAGGCATGCACCCCTGCGCAGCCAGTCCGGTGCAACAAGCTTGCACGGGCGGAGGGAGCGGTAAGCTTTAGGCAGTGCCGCCTTGGGTCGTGGCCTCAGCCTCTCCGGGACGTCCAGTAGTCAGACCCCTGAGCGCCCGTGAGAGGCCCCCGCAAAAACGGTAAGACACACATACCGAAGACTTGCAGACCCTCGATCCTCGAGGGTCGAGGGCCACTTTCGGCAGGGGGAGGAAGGGAGATGGCCGCCACCACCCCTGCCGCATGCCAACGCAGCGACCCGGCGACCCCGCCCGCGCCGGCGAGCCACCGACCCCGCCACTCCCGGCGCCCCTTCCCCTCGCACCTCACCTCTCACACTCTTCATCCATCCTTCTCCTTTCTCGTTCCTCCTCCTCCTCCTCCTCCTCCTCCTTCCCCCTCCTCCTCCTCCTCCTCCTTCCTCCTCCTCCTCCTTCTCCTCCTTCCTCCTCCTCCTCCTCTTCCTCCTCCTCCTCCTCCTTCCTCCCTCCTCCTTTCTCCTTCCTCCTGCCTCTCCTCGCCGCCCGCGGCCATGGTCTACCCTTGCAGCTCCACGGGAGCCTCCCGCCGCCTGACCGTCCTGCTCTGCGGCCCCAGCCCCGGGAGGCGGGTGGCGCCACGGCGCGCGTGCCGCTTCCGCCACCGCTCCCGCTCCTCCTCCTCCTCCTCCTTCTCCTCCTCCTCCTCCTCCTCCTCCTCCTCCTCCTCCTCCTCCTCCTCCTCCCTCCTCCTCCTCCTCCTCCTCCTCCTCCTCCTCCTCCTCTCCTCCTCCTCCTCCTCCCCTCCTCCTCCTCCTCCTCCTCCTCCTCCTCCTCCTCCTCCTCCCCCTCCTCCTCCTCCTCCTCCTCCTCCTCCCTCCTCCTCCTCCTCCTCTCCTCCTCCTCCTCCTCCTCCTCCTCCTCCTCCTCCCCTCCTCCCTCCTCCTCCTCCTCCTCCTCCTCCTCCTCCTCCTCCTCCTCCTCCTCCTCCTCCCCTTCCTCCCTGTCCTCCTCCTCCTCCTCCTTCTCTCCCCCTCCTCCTCCTCCGTAGCCATTTTGGCTCAAGAGCCCGTTCGCCTGCCCAGGCTCGCGCCTGGGGGGCCCAAGCCAGAATTGCCCCGGACCGCAGGTGCCCAGGACACGTACTTCGGGCGTCGAGCCCTCCCGAACCACCAGGGCTGGGGGCGGTCAGGGGTAGCTGCAGATTCGCGCCTCGGGGGCCCAAGCCAGAGTTGCCCCCAACCGCGTGCCCGAGCCACCGTCCACGCCCGCTCGGTTGGAAGCGGGCCTGGGAAGCGTCGGCTCTGCCTGAGGCGGGGAGGACAGGGGAGGGGGGAGAGATTATCAAGAGAGAGAGCCGGGAGACGGAGGCGCCGGAGGCGCGGCCGCGGGGCGTGAGCCACCCGAGCCCGCCGTTGATGAGGCCTGCGCTGGCGCACAGTTCGGCGCCCTCGGCCCTGACGGCAGGGGCGAGGCGCGAGCGACGGCGGCTCGTCGCCCCGGGTCTGCAGCGCTGGCAGCAGCGGCCTCGCGCGAGCAGGAGCGGCGGCGCGGCAAGGCTGGCCGCGCCGCTCCCGCTCCGCAGTGCTGGCCTCCCCCGGCGGCTACGAGACGAGCCACCGCGTCGTAGGCCTTCTGGAGGTCGTGGCCGACAGCGAGACGCTCGATGCTCCGCCCGGCCTTCGGGCCGCTGAGCGGTGCAGGCACCTGGACGCGCCTCGGCTCTACGCTCGGGCTGCTCCGGCGCAACCAGGCCCCTCGCCCCCCCCACACGACGAGCACGACGAGCACGACAGCTGTCATCACCTGAGCCCTCGGGGGGGGGGCGGCCTGCTGCTGGGGCCGCACGACGTGCTACTCTCGCACCGCGGCGCCCGTGGGTGCTCCTCGCAGTGGTCGCAGTCATGGCGTCGGTCGGCGCCTTGCGGATGTGAAGGTGCTCGACCGCAGACGCGAGCACTGGCAGGTCTGCGCACTGTGCTTTTTGGCAGCCCGACGCGCCGGTACCTCGCACGGTCTCGTCTCCGCGCCCTCTGCAGCGGCTGAGAAACCTTGGCGCCGTCGGGAGGAGGCTTCTCCTCCTCCTTCTCCTCCTCCCTCCTCCTCCCTCCTCCTCCTCCTCCTCCTCCTCCTCCTCCTCCTCCTCCTCCTCCTCCTCCTCCTGCTCCTCTCCTCCTCCTCCTCCCTCCTCTCCTCCTCTCCTCCTCTCCTCCTCCTCCTCCTCCTGCTCCTCCTCCTCCTCTCCTCCCTCCTCCTCCTCCTCTCTCCTCCTCCTCCCCTCCTCCTCTTCCTCCTCCTCCTCCCCCCTCCTCCTCCTCACGCTCGCCTCAAGACTTCACGACGTGAAAGCGACCTGGCCAGGCCGCGTCAGCAGGCCTGCGCAGCGTCCCGCACGCCGGATGGCGCACAGGCTGTGGATTCACACGTCCACCTGCCAGGAGGGGACCAAACCCACAGACGTCAAAATGTTGCACCACCCGGCGCTGACAATAAATCGCACCGCTGTTATAGCAATCGTTTGCTTCCCCCCCCCTCCCCCCCGATCTTAATATTGGGTTCGGTCAGAGCTGGTCGAAACAGCTCGGTGGTGCAACATTTTGTCGGGAACCCCCGGGCGGAACAGGGGCTCTTCGCCATGCACCCAACATTCAGATCGGGGGGAAGGGGGGGGCAAGAGCAATGCAGTACAGGTGCCAATGCACAGCAAACGTGGTGCAACATTTTGTCGATGTACGGTATATAATCGTCGATTCCCCGGGAAATATGGGAAACATGGGAAGGTCGGGGAAAGACGAGCATCCAGGAAAAATATGGGAAAAGATGGGGAATCCTGGGATGTGTGTCTATGTATTTCTGTGCTTCTGGGCCCCTTCAGCCTGGTCTGCAATGCAGTGTGTTGGATCGCTCTGCAAGTTCTCGCCCAAAAGTGCCCCTGCCGGCCCCCAGCGACGACCCAGTGCCACTGTTGGCCCCCGGCGACGGCGAGCACGAGCGATTGCTGCATCTTCGCTCGGGGCGCGCCGTGACAATTCTTTGAACAGTGCTTACATCAAGCGGTGAGTCAAACACCGAACTTGAAGCATAATGCAGAACACACTGTTTGGGATCCGCGCTGGTCTGGCGGAAGGCTTCCGATGGGAGCCAGCAGTGGCGAGGCTGTTATGTCTGCAGCCCCGAATCATAGCAACATGCTCTTTCGCATCGCAACTCCTACTGTACGCTGCACGCCACCCGCAATCGTGACATGAAGCCAGCTCTACTCGTTCAGGAACCAGTGCTCGGCTTCGGATCCCGCTTGCTGGTCGAAAGACGAGCAGCTCCTTCTCGCGGCCCTGGAGGTTGTCGCAGCACATTCAAGGATAGCTCTCGAAACGCCCCTGGCCCTGGCACGATAGCCCGTCCTCGATGTCCAGGCCGGCGTTGATGCTCGGCACCTTGAAGTATTGCGCCATGGTGTCTGGCGTATATTTCAATCCGTAAGGGCTTCGCCCCCTGCCGCCGGCCCCCTCTCTCGGAGAATGGGCCATGGAAGAGCTAAGTCATGAGGCCTTGGCGCTGTTGTGAAGCAGTATCGAAACTTCATGCGAAGCCGAACGCAATCAGCAAAACCAACTGATCACAAGAGGGGTTACCACACCTGGCGATTGGTAAGACGTGTATGGTGTACGGGCTTGGTTACCACACCTTGCGATTAAAGGGCCGAGGGAGTTCTCGCAGTTTGGGTTACCACGCCTTGCGATGGATGTGCGTGAGGGTGGCACCGAATTTCAGAAATGTGGCAAATCCCTGTGTTTTTGGACCCTGACCCCGCGGATCTGCGTGAGGGGTGGCACCGAATTTCAGAAATGTGGCAAATCCCTGTGTTTTTGGACCCTGACCCCGCGGATCTGCGTGAGGGGTGGCACCGAATTTCAGAAATGTGGCAAATCCCCTGTGTTTTTGGACCCTGACCCCGCGGATCTGCGTGAGGGGTGGCACCGAATTTCAGGAATGTGGCAAATCCCCTGTGTTTTTGGACCCTGACCCCGCGGATCTGCGTGAGGGGTGGCACCGAATTTCAGAAATGTGGCAAATCCCCTGTGTTTTTGGACCCTGACCCCGCGGATCTGCGTGAGGGGTGTCGATTTCGAGCCCCCCCAGCAATTCAGACAACGCGCCCAGGGGACGCTAAAAATCCCGTTTGGGCCTCCCCCCCCCTCGCGCGGTCAATCAACTAGTTACAGTAACCAGCAAGAAGCAGAACTGTAACACTGGAAACTACAAACTACAACTGGTACAGGAAACTGCGAATCACGCGCCTCGCAGCCTGGTGGCCCCACAAGGGTGCCGGCGGATTTGATGCCCGGCACTTTGTAGCATTCCGCCTTGGTTTGGGGGGTACAGTTCATTTGCGCCCACACGGCCGCGCTGCCAACGTACCTGTGAGGATAACTCGAAGCAGCCTGGACCTGGGCAATGTGGGTTGTACTCGAAGTCCAGGGCGGTGTTGATGCCCGGCTCCTTGCAGTACTCCGCCGTGGTCTCAGGCGCATGCCTCCCCCGCGCTGGCGCGGCCGCACTTCCGACGTACCAGCAAGGGTCGCGTTCGAAGCCGCCCTGGCCGAGGCAGGATAAGTCGTACTCGATGTCCAGGCCGGCGTGGATGCCCAGCACCTTGTCGCACTCCGCCATGGTGTTGTGCGTATTCTTCACCTGCGCCAGCGCGGCGTCGCTGCCGGCGTACCTGGTATACCTGCACGGACAGCTCTCAAAGCAGCCCTGGCCCGGGAAGGAGAGGTCACACTCGATGTCCAGGGCGGCGTCGATGCCCGGCACTTTGCAGCACTCGGCCGTAGGAAGTGTTGGCTCGTCGTCCAGCTCGTCGGTCTCCTCGGTCGCCTTCGGGCCGTTGTCCAGGCCGCGCCAACCGCAAGCCGATTCCGTGCCCCTGCCCTTGCCGAGGCAGTAGCTCTTGGATGGAAGCTGCCGGGCCATTCTCCAGGGCTGCTGGCCCACCGCGGCCTTGCCCTCGCCGAGAGAGTAGCCGCTGGCCTTTGGGTCATCCATCACACGGAGGATCTCGTGGATGAGTGCGCCACAGTTTTTGGGGTGAAGCTTTCCGCTCCCTCGCCCAGGAGCCGCCAGAGCTCCGACAGGGCACTGTTTGGGCGCACTCTGGAGCGGACCATTTGCAGGATTTGCTCCAGCATCTCTTGCCCCACAGCTCCCCAGTACTCACGGACCTGCATCTTCACCCAAGGCCGCAGCCTCTTCTCGATGAGATCGGGCTCAACTACAATGGACCCGTCGATTAGGCAAGCATTGTCGCCTTTTTTCCTTGGGCACCTGCTGGATCAGGCGGCGCCTCTCGTCGATGCTGCACTGTGCGCCCACCTCCTGCTTCTGTCTGCCTCAACTCAGCCATCGGCAGCCTTCTGATCTTCTGGGGAGTGCTCCCAGACTGTCAGTGCCTCGCACCGTGCGAGCCGGCGGTGCCACGCCGTTCCTGGGTCGCGCACGCCTCGTGTTCGGCGGTTGCTGCGCTGGGGCTCTCAGAGCGTCTGGTCTTGCCAGCAGCGCACAGGGTGAGGCCGGTTCCGCCTGCCCCCTGTGGGCAAAAATGCAAGAGCAGTTTCGGCCAGACGCCTCCTCCTCCTCCTCCTCCTCCACCTTCTCTTCCTCCTCCTCCTCCACCTTCTCTTCCTCCTCCTCCTCCTCCTCCTCCTCCTCCTCCTCCTCTTCCTCTTCTTCCTCTGCCTGCCCCTCAACCTCCACCTTCTGCCCCTCCTCCCCCTCCCGCTCCTCATCGTCGTCGCGCTCCTCCTGCCCGTCCTCCCCTTCCTCCGACGATGACGAACAGGAGGATGCGGGATAGAGGAGGAAGAGGTGGAGATACAGGAGGAGGAGGAGGAGGAGGAGGAGGAGGAGGAGAAAAAGGAGGAGGAGGAGGAGGAGGAGGAGGAGGAAGAAGAGACAGGATTTCGTGTCCACGGAGCATGTTTGGCATTCTGGGCGCCCCTCCCCCCTCCTCCACGTGTGTCCCCACTCTTGCTCTCCCAATATCCCCCTCCTCTCCATCTCCCATTCCCTCCCCTCCCCATCTCTTCCTTCCTCGCTATCCTCCCCCATCTCCAGCCCCTCCTCCCCTCCCACTCTCCCTCCCCTTCCTAATCCCCGCCTCCGTCCTCCACTCCCACTATCCCTCTCCTCCCCCTTCCCACTCCCAGCTCAGCCTATGCCTTCCTTCCACTGCCCCTTTCCCCTTTTCCCCCCCTTCACCCGCCCAGGTCAAGAAGGTGAAAGGCATCGTGATGCAGGGGCATCCAAAAGAAGACCAGTGGGTGACACGGCCGGGGGCGCTCCCCCCCGGGCGCTGCTGAGTTTCCCACTCCGCTGCCGCCTCCGCCGCCGCCTCCTCCCCCCCCCACGAGCGGCCGAAGCAACCGCGCAAGGGTAGTGTGAGGAGAAGGAGTCGGCCTCGCGACCACGGACCAGAGGCCTGGGACCCCTCCAGACGCTCGCACGCTTCAACTCCGCAGGCCGCCCCCGCCCTCCAGGAGGCGGCAGGCGTGGACCCGTGGCTGCTCTGGAGCCCGTCAGGCGTCCCAAATGCCTGCGCCCTCCACGAGAATGTTGCGAAGTCCCACTGTTGAGCGGGGTACAGAGCAGATGCGAGTTGTTTACAGAATCGTCTCACGACGTGGTCCACATTGACAACTGTGTCACCACTGGCATCCCAAAGAAGGTGTGCAGCAAGCCGCCGCCCCTCTACCTCCTCCTCCTCCTCCTCCTCCTCCTCCTCCTCCTCCTCCTCACCCTTCGTCTCCTGCTCCTGCCCCCCTACATTGCTTTACAGCACCCTGCATGGTCACTCGTTACGGCGCCCTGCATGGTCACCTGCGACGGTGCGTTGCATGTGTCGTCCATGGTGGGCAACACTGCGGCATCCACGATAAAAAACGAACACTGTGTCGTCCCCAGCAGCACTGAATCGAGCGTGGTCACATGCCGTCGACAGTTCGGGAGTTGATTATCACGTTAAACTCAAGCACAAAGGAGCCGAGCACTACCACAGGGTGTGTGTTGGAGCTGGCGTCCATTTCTCGTCCGCAGCTGTACGCGTACGGTCTGACTTCGAATGCCACGTGATGCTCCCTTCGACGATCATTCTACAGCGCCTTTCTCTGTTGTGGCGTCTGGGCATCTCTAGCTATACAGGCATGCCAGAGATGACAGTGACACGGTCTGGGCCTGCACCACCGGTGCGGCCAACTTGCCCACACCCACCCGAGGCTGCATGGTGCGAGCCGCCCGGCGCTCTAGCGCCGCGTCGCTGTCCAGCAGTACGGAGTCGAGGGCCGCTACGTCGCCCACGACGACTTCCTCGAGCGCCACGGCGCCATCCAGCACCACGGGACCCAGACCCCCGACGTCGTGATTTTTTCACGACGTCGACCCCCAGAGGTCCGGACCCCTTCCCCGGGACCGGTTCTTCGTCCTGAGTCGTTTTTTGACGCTCCCGAGGCCCGGCGAGGGCCTCCAGAGGGCGAAAATCGCGAAAAACCTCCCGTCGTGATTTTTTCACGACGACAGGAGGTCTGGGGATAGAGCACTACTGCAAGCACGTCGGGTTTCGCGAGTGCACCGCCGGGGCGTCAGCAGCACGCCGCGGCCCCGCACGACGGACACGGACCCGCACGTCGACCCGGGCTTCCCCGCGGTGGCCCCGCGTCAGCGCGACCCGATGGCCTCCCAGCCCGAGGCGAGCCTGGCGGCGAGGCTACCAGGGATGATTCGCCTCCCGTTCCGCTCCTCCCTCCTCTACCTGCCCCTCCTGCATGTGGTTTTGTAGTATATGACAAGTGAGCTGTTACTTTTCTGACTTTTCGGCGTCCAGCTCCACTTTCGCTGTGTGTCGTCCCAGGCGTGCACGTCAGGCGACGGCCACCCATACGGGCGCTCGACCCAATTGGTCGGCCGCACCACGTGGCTTAGGCTTCTTCGCCTTTTTACTCGCAGGCTTGATCATTTGGCAGCCATTCCAGCCGACATATGATACTTTCTGTCGGTCGTGCGCTGGGCACTGCAGTTCGCATGTATCTGATGTAGCATATCGCGTGCTGGGCTCGAGGACTCGGGGAGCCGAACTATGAGGACTCATCTGGGTCCGTGCTGGGCTTCCGAATGGCCCTGTGAACGGGTTCTCGCCTCATCCTCCTGCCCTGGGCCCGTGCATGCACTCGTGTGCCTCCTCCCTCCCAGGTCCTTGCCTCCCCTCCTCCTCCTCCTCCTCCTCCTCCTCCTCCTCCTCCTCCTCCTCCTCCTCCTCCTCTCCTCCTCCCCTCCTCCTCCTCCTCCTCCTCCTACCTCCTCCTCTTTCTCCTCCTCACCTTACCGGGCATGTGTTGCAAGCCTGACCTGGCGCTTCTCTCATGCACGCTGCGTGGAGCTCATGGGTCATCGTCGCTTAGTGTAGAAGAGGACCTCTCCCCTCCGCCCACACTCCCCCTCCGCCCACATCCGCCCTCTACTTCGGCCCTGGGGCTACAGGGAGAGGAAGGCATGTTGTGACGACGACGACGACGACGACGACGACGACGACGACGACGACGACAACGACGACGTCGACCCCGGACCAACCTCTCCCTGGGTTGCGCTCAAATCAAAGCTTCGTGAGGGATCCAGTCGTGGCGACGATAAGCCCCCAGGAGGCCCAACAATTCTCAGCAACGTGAAAAACGCAGTCCTCGAACAACGACAAAAACGACGACGACGACGACGACCCTCCGCCCAACCGCCCAACCTCTCCTGGGATGCGTTCTGTTCAAGTTTCGTAGGGGATCCAGTCGTGGCGACGATTCGAAGCGTGAAAAACGTAGCCCTCGAACGACGACGACGACGACGAGCACGACTAGCACGACGACGACGACGAGCACGACTAGCACGACGACGAGCACGACTAGCACGACGACGACGACGACGACGACGACGACGACGACGACGACGACGACGACGACGACGACGACGCAGCGCGGACCCACCCAGGTGAAGAAGTACAAGGCCCGAAGGGGGCATGGGCCCGGACACCCCCCGGCGCGGCGCGCCTGCGGCGTCGTCCTCGTCGGCGGCGGGGAGGAGGGAGGAGGAGGGGGACGGAGGACGGGACGGGGGGGGGGGCAGGAGGAGGAGGAGGAGGAGGAGGAGGAGGAGGAGGGAATGGAGGAAGCGGAGGAAATGGAGGAGGAGGCGGAGAAGGAGAGAAAAAAAGGAGAAGGGAGGTTCAGGAGGGGAGGAGGGGGAAGGGCGAGGAGAAGAGGAGAAGGAGGACGAGGAGGAGTACGGAGACGAGGACGAGGAGCGAGTGAGCGAGTGGCGCAGCGGCAGTCGGATCGATGGCTGCGGTCGCGAGAGTGAAGACAGCAGGGGGGGTGGAATGAGCATCCCACACCTCCGCTCGACGAGAGTAGCCAGCGTGGCTGCTCCACGTGCTTAGCGTCCGCGCCTCCCGAGGGTACGGCGCGGCACGTGCAGCACAGCTGCACGTCGGCACGGGGCCGAGCAGAAGGCGCGGACGCCTGCAAGCCAGTTGCAAGCCAGCTGCCAGCTGCACGCCCCCCCCCCCCCCCCTCGAATCCACCCCCCCGTCCAACGACCGAGCCTACTTCACCATAGCACCCCCCCCTCGAATCCCCCCCCCGTCCGACGACCGAGCCTCCGCCCCCCATGGCACGCGTGGCCGCCTCCTCTCTCGACGCAGGGCGTCGACGACCCGACGCAGTAGGACAGGACTGGCAGGCGCGGCTGCCAGCTGCACGCCCCCCCCCCCTCGAATCCCCCCCCGTCCAACGACCGAGCCTCTCTCGACGGAGGGCGTCGACGGCCCGACGCAGTAGGACAGGACTGGCAGGCGCGGCTGCGTCCCCAGCGGACCGAGCAAGGCCGGGTGCAGCGGGCACCGGTCGCCCCGGCCTGGGGCAACGCGGCACCCCTCCGCGGGTGCCTGCCTCGGGCTGCACGCTGCGCTCTCAAACATGCGCAAATGAGCGGCACCTCCTCCTCCTCCTCCTCCTCCTCGTCCTCCTCCTCCTCCTCCTCCTCGTCCTCCTCCTCCTCCTCCTCCTCCTCCTCGTCCTCCTCCTCCTCCTCCTCCTCATCCTCCTCCTCCTCCTTGTGGGCAGTTTCCCGCGCGCCCTAGCCCTCGCGCGCCACTCCCGCACGTCTCACAGCAAGCCCTCGGCACCGACCATCAGGTAGAGTCACGAAACGCGCACAGAGCTGGCGGACGACGATCCCGCCGGGCTGGTCAGGTCGGTGCTGGAGCTCGCGGAAAGCATCGAGGCATCACATTTGGCCGGCTTCCCCAGAGTCCAGAGGAGGGTCGAAGGAGACGACGGGAAAAGAGGGGGTCGGACCCAGGAGCTCCTCGGCGAGTTCCAAAGCAGCAGGGACCGCGGCTGGGGAACCAGAGATGGCCTTTGAATCCGCCTCTTGCAGTTGCTGAAAGAAACCCTGGGCCTTCCCCTGCTGGATGGGGCAGTGGGCGAGCGCGCTCTACTTGCCCCCGTTTTCAGGCCTGTGAGGGTCTGGTCGGTGGTCGCTGTCATGTTGCATCGCCTGCATCTCCAATCAGCCCGAGGTGCAATGAAACAAAGTTCGTGCTGCTGCAGCGTCAGCTTCGGCACGACTCTAAACGGAGAGGCGTTCGGCGGAGGTTGCGGAGCAGTAATACTTCCGCCAGCAATGCCTACGATCTGCACAGTCCTAGGAAGGAAATCCCAAGTCTTTGAAGCTTCTTGATCTGGGCCCCCTCGGCCTGAACGGCAACCTCAGGGACCCTGTGCATGGCGGATCCGAGACGGGCCAAAAAGGTCAGGCCAGAGGTTCCTTACGCAGTCGATCCGAGGTCTAAGGTCTGGGTCGGTTCGGGGAGGGCGCCCTACAACCCTCACATTGTCTTGCGTAGCTGACTTGTGCACGGGAAGAGATTCGCTTGAGCAGCGATGGGTGCGAGGTACCTGCGTGTGCTGCCCCTCCGTTGTCGGTCATCATCGAACTTCCGACTCGCTCCTGGTCAGACCACTTTTGCTGTGGGCCCGACATTGGAGGGGTGTCGTATCGATATTGAAGGGCGCGCCGACCTCGAACGGGCATGTCCGCCATTCTTGAGGTTCATTTTGACGGGGGTAGTAGTGCTCTTCGTGTTTGTTGGATGGTCTTGTGCACCCTGGAGATGGTACCCTTGGATGTTCTGAGCGTGTTGGCTGGCGGAGGGTCTCGTGTTCTTGAGGGGTGCTCTTCTGTCTTAGGTTCGACTCGGACGGGGCTGGGACGAGGACACATCCGTCCCAGGGCATTCCAGAACGCTCACGCTCTGAGAAGGCCGCGGTGCCCGAGGCATCCTCTAGAGAGCCGCCAGATCTCCGAGATTCTCGATGCATCCTGGCCTCGCCTCGTCGACTCCACAGATCGACCCGGAAGCACCCACGGCACCACACCGCTGGCGGCACGCCGTGCTGGATGTCTGCGACCTTGCCTCGCTGCCCTTCGCCTTGGCATCGCTCGGACGTGTGCATTTTTCCTTCGGCGAGGACCATCGAGGAGCATCATCCTTGATCATTTGGCGAAAAAAACACGCACGAAACCGAAAAAAACACAGGGAATGGACGTCCAAGCGATGGCGAGTCGCGTGGTGCGCCCTGGCGTGGCTCCCCGCGAAGCTCTGCACCGCTCTGCGCGGCGCGGTGCCTCTCTCGTCGCCGGGGCACGCTGGAGCACGTCGAGCGAGCGAGCGCGCGCGACGAGCGGGCACCCCGGGGCAGACGCGGGCCTCGGTGGGCCCTCGCGGCGTGGAGCTCGAAGTTTTGGAGTATTTTTTTTTAATCTTTCGTCGAAAACCCCCTTGTAGGGGGGCTTGGCGGCCCTTGCTCGCTTGGAGTGGGGCTCCAAGAACACGGCCGGATTTTGAAGGTTGCCCTGGTACCAGCTTTGACGCCACGCGAGGTCATCCGTTCTGACCGCCTCGTCCCCTCAGCCTTCCTCCTCCCTCTCCCAAAATATATTGCGCTGGAGAAAAAATATATCCCCTTGCAGGGGCCCGCGCCCGACGCAACACTTGGCCCCCGAACTCTCGTCGAGGCTGCCGACGTGGCGTCTAAGCCTGACCATCGGCCTCGCCGAAAAAACCGACTGCACACGCGCCCGAGCGATGCCGAGCGACGCCGAGCGACGCGCGCAGGGGCCGCGCAGGCCGAGGCGGGCCCTGCAGGCAGGCAGGCGGGCCGGTGGCCCCCCGGGGGCCGAGGCTGACTGGGTAAAACAGGGCTAGGATCGGGACAAATCGCTCCAGAGCGTTCCAGACCTCCTCCTCCCTCCTCCCTCCTCCCTCCTCCCTCCTCCTCCTCTTCCTCCTCCTCCTCCTCCTCCCTCCTCCCTCCCTCCTCCTCCTCCTCCTCCTCCTCCTCCTCCTCCTCGCTCCTCCTCCTCTCCTCCTCCCCTCCCCTCCTCCTCCGCCCCCTCCTCCTCCCCCTCCTCCTCCTCCTCCTCCTCCCCTCCTCCTCCTCCTCCTCCTCCTCCTCCTCCTCCTCCTCCTCCTCCTCCTCCTCCTTCCTCCTCCTCCTCCTCCTCCTCCTCCTCCTCCTCCTCCTCCTCCTCCCGAGCCTCGCCTTCCCGAGCGGATCGCTGCGGTGCGCCGCTGGGCCCGAAGGGCTGGCCGCTTGGATGGTGCTGACGAGCTCGCATCGCATGGTTTCCTTCGGCGAGGGCCATCGAGGAGCATCCTTGAGGATCTGGCGAACAAAACAAAAAGGCACGAAACCGCAAAAAAACGCAGGGAGTGGACGTCCGCCGAGCGATGGCCAGCAGCGGCAGCATCGCGCACGTGCACCCGTGGCGCTACGCGGCAGAGATTGCCGAGTGGCCTCATTTGCGGCAGCATCCCAGAAGCAAAACAGTACCGGCAGCATCACATACCTAATGTCTCGGGGCCTAAGAGACGGGGGTCAGTGCAAACGGGGGTCAGCCAGAGCGCCAGATCCTTCAGGATCCTGCGAAGGCCCTCTCTGGCTGACCCGGGTTAGCGAGCCGCTCGTGGCCGCGAGGCGGCCGCTCGTATTGGCTGACCCGGGTTTGCGAAGACCTGCGTTGCAGTTTTTTGTCCTGCATTGCAGTTCTTGTTTTTTTGTTGACCCGGGTCTGGATTGACCCGGGTCAGAAGATCCCCGGATGTCCACAACATTGTCCAAGCAATTCTAGGCACCAAGCACTGCCGCGATAAGCTGGCAGAAAACGATGTATCAAAGTAGCTGTTCATTCTGCAGTGCGCCTGCGCTTCGCAAGTTCCTGCGCCGCCTCAGCCATACGTTTGTCTGTTTCACGTACCTATGCATCCTCCGCTGGTGGTTTTGAGCCCCGGGCTTTCTCATAGAAGACCCTGAGCTCGTTGATGTCCTCCGTGTCCGTGTCCGTCGGGATGGGGACGAGGAGGCAGAGGAGGAAGAGGAGGAGGAGGAGGAGGAGGAGGACAGAGGGAAGATAGAGAGGGAAAGAGGGAGGGGGGCAGGGGGGACGCAGGAAGACGGATAGAAGGGAGGAAGAAGAGGAGGCGGAGAGGAAGAGCAGGAGGGGGGGAAGAGGGAGGAGGGGGAGGTGGAGGGGAGCAGGATCGCAGGGCGAGAGGGAGATGGGCTGGAGATGTGCAGGGCAGCCCAGGGCAGCGGAGAAGTTCCCCTGCGGGGATTCGCATATACTTCAGATTTCGTAATAAAAGAGGGGGGGGGTCTGGACCCTCCAAGACAAGCCGTTTCAGACCCCCCCCCCGTGGGAGAACCCTCCAAAGCATCGTCCCCAGACCCCCCCAGGCCCTCCAAGATAGCCTGGAAAAGACCCCCCCCCCGAAATGAGACCCCCCTCCCTTTATCACGAAATCTGGAGTAGCCGTTTCAGAGAAGACGGGGTGCAGGGCACGATTCTTCGATGAGGACTTCGTCGGAGGTTGAAGCGTTCCTTGTCCGTGTGTGTGTGTGTGCTTGTTTTTGCATTTCGGCCTCTTGCCTAGCTGGGCACGCTCTCGTTGCAGCAGTTCTACCACCCAGCACTCGTTTCGATTGTTCCACATTCTCCAGCGAGTCGTGGTCGGTGGCGTTTCCATGCTTCTTCTGAATTTGTCCGGTGGTGCGTCCGCACCCCGCTGCATGTCGTAATCCTTCACGTGCGTTGGCTCTGGCCCTCCTTTTTTTCTCGCTGAACACGTCAGCCACGTCCTGACCATGAACCTGCAACGCCTGGAGGTAATTGATCTAGGCGTTTCCCTTTCGCGTGCGTGCGTGCGTGCGTGCGTGCGTGCGTGTGTGTGTGTGTGTGTGTGTGTGTTGTGGTTGTTTTGTGCTTGTTTCTGTGCGTTTCTCTCTCTCTCTCTCTCTCGCTCTCTTTCTACGCACTTTCGTCGGACGGGGCTGGGACGAGGATAAATCCGTTCCAGGGTGTTCCAGAACGCACTCGGAGCGTTCCAGAGTTCTCTCAGGAGGCCGCGGCGCCCGAGACATTCCCCAGAGCCGACGGATTTCAGCGATTCTCGATATATTTTCACCCGGTTTTATCCTCGTCCTGGCTTCGTCTTACTCTCTCTCTCTCTCTCTTTCTATCTCTCTCCTTCTCTTTCTACGCGTTTGCGCACATCCCTCCTCCCTCGCTATTCCTTCTCCCTCGCTCCCTTTATTCTCCGATGGTGTCCAAAACACATGAAAGCCGTATAGAGGACTTCCTCCTCCTCCTCCTCCTCCTCCTCCTCCTCCTCCTCCTCCTCCTCCTCCTCCTCCGTCTCACCCTCTTCTGACGGCGTCGGCGAGGACAAGGACGACAACGACGACGAATTCAACGACGACGACGTAGAGAAAGGCGACGAGAAAGACCACGATGACGACTACACGATAGCGGCGGCGGTTGCGTCGGCGGCCCTCGCTTGCAGGTCCAGTACTCTCTCCTCGAGGATGGGCCATGGGTTGAGGTTGAGGACGTCTTGATCGGCTGCGCTGACAGGAACACCGAGTGCCAGGCGACCGGGCCCATCCTCGGGTCCCCCCTCGCCTGCTGCAGGGGAGATTTCAGCGCGGGAGTTCTCGGTGGTCTCGGGGGGGGGCGGGGGGGGGGCAGAAGTGGGTCTGGCGGGTTCCGGGGCCTCCTCTTGCTCCTCCCCCGCCGCTGCTGCTGCTGCTGCTGCTGCTGCTGCTGCTGCTGCTGCTGCTGCTGCTGCTGCTGCTGCTGCTGCTGCTGCGGATCCTCCTCTTCGTCCCCCCTCCTCTTCGTCCCCCCGCTCCTCCAGTGCATCGCCCAGATCGCAGTGGCATCGACCCTTCCTTGAGTCGACTGGCCGTGGCGTGTCTGGGGGCTTGCCAGAGGAGGCCACGGGAGGGGGCGGGGGCGCGTCGACGCGACAGCCAGGGCGCGCCCAGAGCTGCACGGCCCAGGGGGTCCGCGGCAGAGGCGGCCCGGCGAGCGCTGCCCGCCTGGCCGCGTCGCGGGGGGCCCGCCGCAGTCGGGGCCATGATGGCGCGGCTCGGCACGGGCGCCAACGCCTCGCTCTGCCCCATCTCCTGCGCCACCGCCTCGCCGCGGAGTCCCGCGCACCAGGGGTCACCCCGACGCCCCCTCCCGGCCGGGCTCCGCGGCAGCTTCCACGGGCTCCTCCGCGGGCTCGTGTTCCGTGGCGGCTTCTCGGACGTCCACGTCCCGTCGGCCCCCGACGTGCTTCCAGCCTGCGTGCACCCCGCCGCCGGATACGGAGCGGCGGCGGACGCGCTGTATTGGGAGGATCCTCCAGCAGCGCAGCCCAGCGGGCATTCCGGCCCCTCGGCCCGCCTGTTCTGGAGCAGCGGCCCAAGGGACAGGAAGCACCTGAACATGCCAATGGCCTCGGCATGGGCTTCTCCTTCTCGGCGGCCGTTGGACCGCCAGCTCTGGCGCAGCGAGCCTGGGACGAGTGCTTGCGTCGCCCCCGCCTGTTGGCCAAGACTGCCCTCCGCGTGGGCCGCGGCATCCAAGACTGCGAAGACGTGCCACGCCTCTCATTTCACCCTTGGGCTCGCCGCCGAATGTCAGGCCCCAGAGGGGCTGGCGCCAAAGCTTTGGGCCCCTGCAGTGCTGCCCAGGAGGCCCAGAGGAGGGCCACGAGATGGAGGCGCCAGGAGCGAGGAGCCCAGAGTCTGCGGCACGCCTGAGCCAACGGCTTGGCGGCCTCGCCTGGGAGGGGGAGGAGGAGGAGGAGGAGGAGGAGGAGGAGGAG